TCCGAGTAGTTCTGGGGGGCGGCGTCCATGGTCGATGAGCGCGCCCCCAGTGCTCACCGCCGCTTGGCTCGGGGGCGGCCCCGAAACAAGGACGCATGCGCTGCCTGAGCCTTATACACTCGGGCGAACCATGGGAACGGAGGAGGAGAGCAGAAAGGCAGAAAGGCAGGCTGGCAGGACTGGCAGGACAGGGTGGAGGAGGAGAGGGAGGTGATGAATGAGGAAGACGAGGAGGGGGTCGCAGAGGCAAAGGAAAAACAAAATGCGGTCGGAGGATGGTCTACGTCAGTCGACGCCAGGAGGAGAAAGCGGAGGCGGCGGGATAACGATGATGATGATGACGATGCTGATGCTGATGATGCTAATCATAAACATGCGGATGATGATGCTGATGATGATGGTGCTGATGATGATGGTGCTGATGATGATGCTTGATTATGTCGATGATGCTGATGACGATGGTGATGATGATGATGCTGGTCATGATGATGGTGCTGTTGATGCTGATCATGGTGACGACGATGATGGTGACGGTGATGAAGATGATGATGAGGAAGATGACGATACGGACGTTTCTGTTGATGGTGGTGGTGGTGATGATGGTGATGATGACGGTTGGCCCATAGCGCGAACTCGAAGACAGTGGCGACCCCCTCCTCGGCCGAAACACCGCCCAACAACCGGCAGCCTGGCAGGACCGGGCCAGCCAGAGCCCCGGGAAAAGACCCCGGCGCCACCAGCACGTCGTTGCTCCGGCCATTGACACCCAGACCAGGCTGGAGGCAATTCGGCCGCGACCAGCACCAGGTCGCCGCCCTTCGTGTGCAAAAGCCGTCGGAGCGAACCCACGGTGGGGGTCTTGACGGCCAGCAGCGCGTGAAGCAGCACGAGCACTCTCAGAGCTCGTCGTCGCTATGTGCTTCTCAGCAAGAGCCCCGTCGCCCCCCCCAAAAGAGCCCGCACTCCGACACTTGCCCGAAGGGCGAGCCGACGAGAGCACGCGCCTCCAGCCATCAATTGTCCAAGGAAGCGCAGACGTCGGGCACGGCATCCAATCCCTTGTGCGTCTCAACCAGGGCCAGCACTCTGCGCTCCTGCTCCTGGGCGAGGAAGCGCGCGGCCTGCGGGCCCCACTTGTCCAGGGACGCGTCGTCCTTGGACTGCTGCGGTACATCGTCGGCCGCTGCCTCACCCCAGCGGCACGGGCGCGCCTGGGGATCAGGGAGAAGGCGAAGCAACAGGAGCAGCAGGGCACACAGGATACAGCCCCTTGCACACTCACTTGGCCCGCTTGGCCTGCAAGCCCGCCTCAGCCAAGAAACTGGCAGGCAACGCCTTCTTCTTCTCCTCGGGTAGCGGCTTGGGAGCTGCCGAGGAGGCCGCTGCAACTCCGCTAAGAGCCGCTTCTGCCGAATATGGCGGGGCACCTGGGTCGGAATTGCCGTCCTCGTCGCGCCGCCTGCGCTTGGACGCCGCCTGCTTGTGGCGCCGCTCTGGCCTTGTCCAGCAGCACCTGGAACTCCTGCTTGTCGCGCGTCTGCTTCGTGATACTGTCGAGCTGCTTTTGGAAGGTCTCCAGCGCATTCTTGTCCTCGGCCTCCAGCTCGTCAAGGGACCCAAACAGCTCGCGATCCACGACGAAGGCATTGAGGGCGTCCGTGGACTTCGTGCCAGGCGCCGTGCCCAACGCCTTTTCGGCCTGCAGACGGTTGACCTCAGCCTCGACCATCTCGTCCGTCGCCAGCTCGAAGCGTGCCTTGACACAGTCGAGGTGCCACTGGGCAGTCTCAACCTGCCTGGCAGCACGGTCGAAGGCCTCCTTCTTGCGGGAGCACTCGAACGAGACCTCCTTGAGCACGGTGCAGGCGGGCTTGCTGACAGCGGCGAGCACCTTCTTCGCGACCGCAAGGGACTGCACCCGGGACGCCAGCCTCTTGGCCTCAGGATCCGAGTCGAGGCCAGCGACTGGCAGCACCCTTGTCATGGCATCCTCGAGGGACGCCGAGGTTGTCGGAGAGTAAACAACACGACTCCAGCCCGTCGCACCAGCCCGCGACGAAGCCCACGGCGCATACCACGTGCCACCCTGAGAGGACTGCCAGCCTGGTTGCACCGTGCCACGCACGCCACAGGTACCACGCTGGCGCTTGAGGCGCCCGTCACCCGCCCAGCTGCCCTACACCGAACACCTTTTCGGTCTGCGGGTCGAGAGCGAGCCTTCTGGTTAAGAGCTAGGCGGGCCGCGCAAAGCACTAAGTGGGGAGACAGAGCACAGGCGGGCGGGGCCTCATTCCCCACGGAACACGTGGTGAACGCATGCGTGCCACGGCCCATGAGAAGACGTTCCGAGGAACAGGCAGAATTGCTCCAGCAGGAGCTCACCCAATCACTTGACCTGGCCGCGGACTAGCGGTATCTAGCCAGCCTCGAATGTACCCCTATCCCTAAGATGGGCGAGCAAAAAGCGAGAACAATCTTAGGCATAGGCCCTCAAGCACTG